GTTAAACTAGAATAATTAAAGAGCGTTGAAAGTTATTTCCCTTGTGACTGAGATGCAGGGGCAAGACAGTTTGGATCTTTCAGTTATGTCTTACAATCTTTTGAAAATTACTTGTTATAGCTCGCCAAAACATTGGCAATGGGGGAACGTCCTGTCTGTAAAAGTTACTTGACAAAACATGAACTCAAGTAACACACGTTTAAGAATCCCAATTTTTTCTACACTACAGATGGGGGCCACCGGAATAGGGTGCCGCCACTGTAAGTTGCCACCATAGTACTGTGCCACTAGAGTAGGGTGCCACCAGAGTAGGGTGCCAACCAGAGTAGGGTGCCATCACAGTAGGTTCCAAACTAAACAGGGTGCGAACTGAGCAGTGTGTCATTAGAGCAGTGTGTCATCAGTGCGGTTTGTCATTAGAGCTGGCAGTGTCTGACAAGGTTTTTGGGGAAGTCTTGATATGGTTAAATAAAATGACAAGCACCCAATCAAGAGATGTTTGACTCAATCAATAGATACATTTCCATTTGTTTGGATCAATAAAAGATTTTATCTTATCAAGAGAGACCGGACTCAATTTTGAGACATTGGGCTCAATTTTGAGACATCGGGCTCAATCAAGAGAGATCAGGCTCAATCAAGAGACATCCGGCTCAATCAAGAGACAATGTACTCAATCAAGAGACACCGGGCTCAATCAAGAGACACCGGGCTCAATCAAGAGACACCGGACTCAATAAAGAGATGTCTGACTCAATCAAGAGATGTCTGACTCAATCAAGAGACGTCTGACTCAATCAAGAGACGTCTGACACAATCAAGCGGCGTCTGACTCAATCAAGAGACGCCGTACTCAATCAGGAGACGTCTGACTCAACCAAGAGACGTCTGACTCAATCGAGAGACGTCTGACTCAATCAAGAGACGCCTGACCCCATCAAGAGACGCCTGACTCAATCAAGAGACGCCTGACTCAATCAAGAGACACCGGACTCGATCTGCCAGCAGAAACCAAAATATCGATTCTTGAACGAAGTTAGCGTTTTTCATTCTGAACTCCAGATATGATCAATTTTTTATCATGATCTTTGTGCCTCTGGCTTCTCTTATGGAATCCTTTAAAAACTGAAACTTTTAATGAACATTAGCGATGAGCCATGGAACATTTTCTACTTTGTCTAACAGTTTGAAACGTTCGCATTTTTTAAGACCTGGCAAGTAAAATTTGTAATGTACATTTTAATTTTTCAACAAAAAATAATTTTGCTGCATTTTAAAAATGTTTCTCTTCATATTCTATTTTCTTCTTCATGTCTTGTGTTGCTTTACTTCTAAAATAAAAGACAAGGTTACCAGATTTTTTAAATTTTATTTGTCATTTGTGTAAAATGTATCATCCTCTTTTTTTTAAATTTCTTTTTATTTGTATATACTTGTCACAGTTTTCGATAAAATGTTAACTCCATGCTTCTTGAATAATTGTGACCCAGTGGAGATAACCTGTAAAATACAGAATTATCCCACATGTAAATGAGTTTAGGTATTGCCAGTTACTTAAATAACTTGTACTGTTTATATCTTTCAGATAATCTCCTTTTACTTCTACCACTTCCTGTTTATCACACACCAAGAACAAATAAAAATGGCCGTAGGTCTTAAGAGATGATTTCATTGGATTTGTTTTTGTCCGTAACCCAAACGGATGTTCTTAGTTCAACGTTTGGGGCCCAGAGTTTGATTTTATATCAATGTGTTGTTAGTTTTACAGCAGCTTCAAGTCACTAAAATATAGAAATCAGCAGCAAATGTCACATCAACACACAACGGGAGCAACAAATATCACATCAACACACAACGGGAGCAACATTGTCATGTCACCTCACAAGTGGAGCAATAGCGTCATATCAACAAACACACAGGTGGAGCGACAATGTCATGTAGCATATAAAAGTGCAACACAATATCATGTCATCACACAAGTGGAGCGACAAACGTCAAATTAAAACACAAGTGGCGCAACAAATGTCACATGAACACACAAGTGGAGCAACAAATGTCACATGAACATACAAGTGGAGCAAAAAATGTCACATGAACACACACGTGGCGCAACAAATGTCACATGAACACATAAGTGGCGCAACAAATGTCACATGGACACACAAGTGGAGCAACAAATGTCACATGAACAAACAAGTGGCGCAACAAATGTCACATGAACACACAAGTGGAGCAACAAATGTCACATGAACACACAAGTGGAGCAACAAATGTCACATGAACACACACGTGGCGCAACAAATGTCACATGAACACACAAGTGGCGCAACAAATGTCACATGGACACACCAGTGGAGCAACAAATGACACATGAACACACAAGTGGAGCAACATATGTCACATGAACACACAAGAGGCGCAACAAATGTCACATGAACACACAAGTGGAGCAACAAATGTCACATGAACACACAAGTGGAGCAACAAATGTCACATGAACACACAAGTGGCGCAACAAATGTCACATGAACACACAAGTGGAGCAACAAATGTCACATGAAGACACACGTGGCGCAACAAATGTCACATGAACACACAAGTGGCGCAACAAATGTCACATGAGTACACAAGTGGAGCAACAAATGTCACATGAACACACAAGTGGCGCAACAAATGTCACATGAACACACAAGTGGAGCAAAAAATGTCACATGAACACACAAATGGAGCAACAAATGTCACATGAACACACAAGTGGCGCAACAAATGTCACATGAACACACAAGAGGAGCAACAAATGTCACATGAACACACAAGTGGCGCAAGAAATGTCACATGAACACACAAGAGGAGCAACAAATGTCACATGAACACACAAGAGGCGCAACAAATGTCACATGAACACACAAAAGGAGCAACACATGTCAAATCAACACACAAGAGGCGCAACAAATGTCACATTAACACAAAAGTGGAGTCACAATGTCATATCATTACACAAGTGGAGCAACAAAACGTAAATGAAAACGAGGAGATGTTAAGCTTGGCGAAGCTACTCAAAAATAGATTTGATTCACTTTACACGGCTTGAACGAAGTCTCTCATGTAATTTCCTTTATAACAGCATTATTTTTTTAATATACAGTCAGAGAGTTCTGATCAGTAACCTCGGGTTTCAACGGTAGGGGGAGTATAGAATATGAATTTGGAATATATCTAATCTTGCTATTAGATTTATTTTTTTTTTTTAATACAAAAAATCGTAAATGTCTCGTACATGTCTAGGAACATTAGCAAAAATCACTTGTAGTTAATATGAAAATGTCTTCAATATAAATTTTCAAAAAAAAAGAGAGAGAGAGAGAGAGAGAGGAGTGGTTGACACGACTCTACTTTGAAGTTAGAAAAATAGGGCAATAACTGTTAACAATTGTTGTAGCATGTAGGAATGGCTGTAACATTGTGATCAATACGTTCCCAAAAATAAAATTTCCAGTAGTTTTAGCAGTAGTTGGCCTTTCTTATAAAGTGCGTTACTTGAATGCCTGTTTTGTCAAGTAACTTTAGTAAATAGGAAGTCCATGCATGCCTCCCTCCGCGCCCTTTTCTGGGGGGGGGGGGAGGGGGGGATTTTAAAGTTTTAAAAAGAATACCTGGCGCTTTGGGGGGGGGGGTGTCTCTCTGTAGAATTTATTGTAGTAGTCTTTTTGTAATCTTCTTAACTCGTCAAGAGAAATATACTCGTGAAATCTATTTTTTTTTTTTGCCTCAAGTCGGGTGAACAGATTTGATTTCTTTCCCTTTACACGTGTCCTGGCTTGGGATTATTTTTTTTTTATTGATAACCTCGGTACGTGGATTGTGTCTGTACTGAGAAGAGATTATGGTATATCCTGAAATAAAAGACGCCAGAACTCGCTACGAGATACCGGATATCTGAAATGTGAGACCGCCACCATTGTGTGCGACCGGTGAGGTTGTGAGGGGGGAAGATGAAAGGTGTGGAGGTACGAAACAATAAGAATGGCTGCCCTGGTTAGACACAGGAAGAGCGCCAGGAACCGAATAAGGGGAGATAAATTACTTGACACACACATGAACTTAAAAAAAAAAAGGTAACTTGTTGATCCTTTTTAAACCACCATTAACCTGAGCCGGCACAGCTGAAACTCTAACAAAAACAAACAACCCAAAGACACATGTTTCACCGCGATGATCAACTCAATGTGAATATCATACAGCCATGAATCGAACACAAGAGATACATTGTTTACACACAGGCTGGGGTAGAAATATGAAGAGAGACAATACGAAGATTTCTTTAGATGTTTCCCTACCTTTTGTATATTTCTGATTGCTGCGACCTGAATGCAATCCTCCTGATATTACATTCATCAAATACAACAGGCTTTGATCAAATATTTGATTGATAAGATTTGATAATTGCATTTTCTTACATTGCGCACGTTTTTTGAGTTCTAAAATGGCTTCCATGCCTGGACAACGATATATTCACAGTAGTGGGTCTCAACCTTGTGTTTTAGCCCCTGGTCTTATTAACAACAGTGGTGATCAACCGGGTGGTTTAGCCCCTTGTTTTATTTACCCTTTGATCCACATCATGTTTTTTTTTTGTTTTTTTTACAGTTATTGTGCTCAGCTTGTCGTGTAACATATTTTTTATTGAGAGGGTTGCACCCATTGAAAGATTGCATGACAATCGACTGCATCATCTATGAAGTATGTGAGTTGTAAGAATTTTAAATGAAGCTCAACTCTATAATAATATTTATAAAAAATAATAACACAATTTAAATGAGCACTATACCTAGGGAAACGCAAACAGAAAAAGGTATGTATTATGTGTTGATTTTCAGAATGGGAAATGACTTCCTGTGGCAGCCTGGACTCCCAAAGGTGGGTCTACTGACGTCATTTCCTGTCATCGCGGGATACGAGTGGAAACAAAGGGCATGTCGGGTAGTATAAAAGTTGGCAGTGACGGTGTTATCAGTCATTGTGTTTTATCCCATGCTGCACGTGTCAGCTTTTAATCAAAGGTTTGTAAACCACAAGACAGCCTTAATTGTAGGGAGGCTCTGGAAGGGTAAATAATAAATCAGATACGTTTTATTTGTAAAGTGCCAATCATTTTCGTGGCTTTTAGTTTATTAACTTTTGGTTCATGACGCTTTTCATTGTTCAAAATCCTGTTAGGACTTACAATTATCAATATATGTATATATATGTATCAAGCACAGCGGTTCTCAACCTATGGGTCGCCACCACTTTGGGGGTCGAGCGACCCTTACACAGGGTTGGCCTACGACCGCCTTAAACACATATTTATGAAGTAGCAACGAAAATAATGTTATGGTTGAGTGTCACCAAAACAAGATGAGCTGTCAAGGGTCGGGGCATTAGGAAGGTTGGGAACCACTGATCTAGCAGTTTGGGTAGTGACAAAAAACCAAGAACTGCCCTTTTTAAAATAGTGTTATTAATCTGGTTTCAGAGACACCACGCACCAGTTACTGGAGGCCATTACTTATTTAAGCAGAAGACTGTCACAATCTCACCTTGGTTCACGTGTGAATATGAGCGGGGGTGTGTGGGTGGGGGGTGTGTAGGGGGTGTGTTGGTGGGGGGTGGCGAAGGAGGGTTGGTGGAAATATTTTTTAAATGTCTTACGGTTAATAAGGTAATAAAAATAAAACACGATCAGTTATCGAATTATAAATTATTGCAGTTTTGAGTTGTATTTAGGACCAGGAGACTTATAAGGCTGACTCTTTTCATGAATTAATTATTGGATTTCAGAAAAGGAAAATGAAAAACACGAAACATAATAGGGGTGAATGGCTTCAACTAATCAATGTAATTAATGTGCACAGGAAGACTACTCTGTCTTTAGGTTGTTTGCGAAAATTTAATAGAATTAGATTTAATGGTCATAAATAAAATATTATTTTCTTCTGACTTGTTTCTTAGCTGCAATTATTGCAATAAAGCGACTATTTTTTTTTTAAAACTTGGTTTAAAAAGTAGCGTAAGAAATACATGAAGTATGCATATCGAAATCTCTTCGTGAAAAAAAACAAAAACAACTTATCAGTGCTCGCGAATGCTTGTTGCCGTGGTAATCAGCTCTCTTTTTTTTCTTTATTTACGTAACTAGATAAATGACAATAAATATGACGAGAACCAAGATGTGCACCGGGATTGCCTTGCTGACCTTCATCGCCCTTGTTGATGGTCATGGTCGCCTCATCGACCCCCCGGCCAGGTCAAGCATGTGGAGGTTCGGGTTTAAGACTCCGATAAATCATGACGACATGTCGCTGTACTGTGGAGGATTCTACGTAAGTCGTACATTGGTTAAGTCTCGACCTTGACCCACTCTCATAATTTATACAGCTACTGGCTTAGTATCATCATTTACACAGCTTCTCCTGTCCTTTCTACACTCGCAAACATTATACACAACTTCTGGTTTCGTCCTGCCCTTGTCACACTCTCATCATTTATACAGCTACTCCTGTCTGTGGGCCTTTCAGGACCGGCTGCTCCTGTCTGTGTGCCTTTCAGGACCGGCTACTCCTGTCTGTGTGCCTTTCAGGACCGGCTACTCCTGTCTGGTTGCCTTTCAGGACCAGCTACTCCTGTCTTTTTGCCTCTCAGGACCGGCTTCTCCTGTCTGCATGCCTCTCACTACCAGTTACTCCTGTCTGTGCGCCTCTGAGGACCGGCTACTCCTGTCTGTGTGCCTCTCAGAACCAGCTACTCCTGTCTGTGAGCCTTTCAGGACCGGCTCCTCCTGTCTGTGTGCCTCTCACGACCGTTACTCCTGTCTGTGTGCCTCTCAGGGCCATCTTCTCCTGTCTGTGTGCCTCTCAGGGCCATCTTCTCCTGTCTGTGTGCCTCCCAGGTCCATCTTCTACTGTCTGTGTGCCTCTCAGGGCCATCTTCTCCTGTCTGTGGGAATCTCAGGGCCATCTTCTCCTGTCTGTGTGCCTCTCAAGGCCATCTTCTCCTGTCTGTTTTCCTCTCTGGGCCATCTTCTCCTGTCTGTGTGCCTCTCAGGGCCATCTTCTCCTGTCTGTGTGCCTCCCAGGGCCATCTTCTCCTGTCTGTGTGCCTCTCAGGGCCATCTTCTCCTGTCTGTGTGCCTATCACGACCGGGTACTCCTGTATGTGTGCCTCTCAGGACCTGCTACTCCTGTATGTGTGCCTCTGAGGACCGGCTACTCCTGTCTGTATGCCTCTCACGACCATTCCAAGGAGAAGCTGAGCCCGGGTTGACACCTGAACCCTCAACCCAAACCTCTTTTCAACTTTCATCAATAAATGATATACGACATAGGCTTGTATATGATGTGGGATTTATTATAAATAAACTGATAATATATGAATTGTGCACCCCCTCGTGGCTGACGCTCAGGGTGTGCACCCCTTCGTGGCTGACGCTCAGGGTGTGCACACCCTCGTCAACGCCCTGAACGTATTAAATACACCCTAGAACTAATGACTTAAGTTCGGCAACGCATTCCTCACTTGGGCAGTGCTACACCTCTAGCTTCAGGGAGCCCACGCTATATAAAATAGACGTAAAGTTGTGATGTGGACAAAAATGTGAACCATTAATGTTGAAAGTTAGGGGCAAAAAAAAAAAATAAACCAACAAGAAAATTTGCAGTTGATGTCTCCAAAAGTTTCGCGATGACTCTGCGGCGATACTAAGGAAGCTTTTTTCTCCCCCTTAAATTATGTGCTGCTTATGTGATAAGATTGTTTCACTCAAAATTCCATGTCAAATAATTTGAATAGCGAGTGAAACACTTCTAACGTACTTTGCGCACACACTGTTCTTTTCTTGTTACTATTATCACCCCGCACAGAGCTGACACTTCAAATATACCCCGTTGTTTTCTAGATCCCCACGTTTATAGTTTTAACACTCCGATCCGCATTCGGGAACACTTACTCTCTGTTCGTTTTCGTCACAAAGGGACACCATCACCACACAGCATCCATTATCTTGAAGTACTCAATTCTTGGTGTGGACGTAATGCGCCTGACGGCTGGGCTACTCTTAAAAAGAAAAAAAAAATGTAACATAATTTCAGGCAGCACTTTCTGGTCTGTCAATTAAGATTATAGTCCTGCACACGTCAATAATCTGGCACGTGACTATGATCCTGAAAATGACAATAATGCTGAACATGACAAAAGGCCTATATGTTCAAAGATAGTTTTGATTATGTTACATCCTTGTCGTTCCATGAAAAACAAAACATTTATTTAAAAAAAAAAACTATTCTGGTGCACCGGAAGTCACATCCACGCCCCCTCATACCCGCCCCCTTACATCCCCCCCTCACACCCACCTCCTCACAACCGCCCCTCACACCTTCCCCCTCACACCCGCCCCATCACACCCTCACCCCCTCACACCCACCCCCTCACATTCCCCATCTCACACCTGCCCCCTCTCATCCACCCCCTCACACCCACCACTTTACACCCACCCTCTCACACCCACCCCCACACATCCACGCCCCCTCGCACCCACCTCCTCCTCCTTGAGTTAAGAGCCAATGCTTTATAAGTATTTCCTGTTTCGGGAAGATGTAGATCTTTATCTAAAATTCATTGTTTAGAAAAGATGCACCTTGATCCATTCAACCTTCATCTGCTGACCCACCAGTCGTGATAATTACTCAACCTGACATTTGATTCACTGTCTCGGGTGAATGAAAAACTCCTTATCTGGCTGTGTTTAAAAACAAAAAAAAACCCACATCGAATGACGTCGTAGCCAATCACGATGACTTCGTCAGATGAGTATTTTAAAAAAAATCTCTTTATAATAATTACCACTTAAGCCAGATAGATCAGCGGTTCATAGACCCTGTACCATTAGTGACACATATTATTGTATCAGATGGTTTAAATACTTGTATGTACAATACATTAAAATATCTTCAGTCATAATGAAAAACAAAATGAAACAAAATTAAAATCGTAGCACAGTATTTTTAGCAGTTTTTTTTTTTTTTAAAGTTTTTAAACATTTAAATATTTTGAGATCCCCTGTGTTAGAGGTTATATCAGAGCGTTAATTTGACGTCATCAAAATACTGATCGAAAATTCTATGAAAGGCGGATACGTAATGGATTTTAAAAAAGGAAGACGCGTGAAATGAAAACAATGATACTGCTAAATAACAACATCCTAGTAACAACATCCTGTCATACGCCCATTATCAACATCGTGGCGTACGCCCATTATCAACATCCTGGCGTACGCCCATTATCAACATCCTGGCGTACGCCCATTAACAACATCCTGGCGTATGCCCATTAACAACATCCTGTCGTACGCCCATTAGCAACATCCTGGCGTACGCCCATTAACAACATTTTGGCGTACGCCCAATAACAATGCCTTGGCATACGCCCAATAACAATGCCTTGGCATACGCCCAACAACAATGCCTTGGCATACGCCCAATAACCATGCCTTGGTTTAAGCCCAATAACAATGCCTTGGCATATGCCCAAAAACAATGTCTTTTCATACGCCCAATAACAGTGTCACGCCATAAACCCAGGCTGATGTTTCAATTGTGTTGATCAATGAAAATCTACGTTCACTGCCTTGTCTTTGTCTGCTCGTTGCTGAATCCTTCCTATCCCTCCGTAAGAAAAACATGGGACTTTTCAAAGGCGGCGAATGACAGGTCAACACGTAGATAAGACCCAATTGAAATTTACGGTATATCGGCTCATCTTATGCTAGGAAGCTGAACTTCGCTACACATGTGTTTCTGGCCATACATTTAAATTTATCAAATTGTTTTTCGATCCTCCATGAAATGCTCGCAAAAGATTCGTTGATGAAATGTATAAATTCGTAGTTTAAATGTATAGATTCGTAGTTCAAAATGTATAGATTCCTAGTTGAAATCTATTTATTTGTACTTTAAATGCCCATAAATGTTACGGCAAAAGCTCGAATTTCGGCTAGTGATCGAATTAGCCGGTTAAGGAGCGACATAGCCAAGAGATGTAGCCAAGGTTCGATGTAATTGAAATGGCGATTGCATGTGCCAGTTAGGCCGGACATTTCATTAAGTGGTGAGGAATCACTGGCTTAAATTCGATGCTCTGCCACAAGACAGTCTTGCAGATGTCATGAACGTCAAGGTCGCTTTCTACTCGCTGGAACATGGTGTTATGTGATTTCTACAAGCTAGGAACAGAACATGTGTTATGTGATTTCTACAAGCTAGAAGAAGAACATGGTGTTGTGTGATTTCTACAAGCTAGAAGAAGAACATGGTGTTGTGTGATTTCTACAAGCTAGAAGCAGAACATGGTGTTGTGTGATTTCTACAAGCTAGGAACAGAACATGGTGTTATGTGATTTCTACAAGCTAGGACTAGAACATGGTGTTATGTGATTTCTACAAGCTAGAAGAAGAACATGGTGTTGTGTGATTTCTAGACGGTAGTAACAGAACATGGTGTTAAGTGATTTCTACAAGCAAGGAGCAGAACATGGTGTTAAGTGATTTCTACAAGCTAGGAGCAGAACATGGTGTTGTGTGATTTCTAGACGGTAAACTTGAATTTTGCAATCTTCACATTGAAATCGTGCAAACTTGAATCCGTGACAGAGACCCAAAATCCCCATGGACCTAGCGATCACCTCATGTCATCTCACAAACTAACCGTCCAAATCGCAAAAAACAAGAAAATATCGGACATTTCGGTCATTAAATGCGAAATAAAGGATTTCTCTATTTTGACGGCCATTTATAGAATTTTCCGATTTCTTGATTTGGGCGTAACATATATGCATTGACGTAGTTGAAAATTAAAAAAAAAAATTAAACCAATTGAATTCAATTTGTTTCCCCATCTCAAGTTCATTCATCCTTCCAGTTACTTAAGGGCGTGAAAAACTATGCCACTCACTGTCAGGCTGACTCTTATGAAACGGTTTGACTTTTAACTGTAGCATTTTAGCGCCAAAATGAGGCTGGTCATGGCTATCGTTGTCGTGGTGGTTGCGTGGGGAATGAAGGAGGTTGGGGACACAATTTATGCCAAAGTTGGGCTTTTAAAACAATGCAATCATTTGATTTTTCAATGACACACGTACTATCTGGGGGAAAATCAATATTTTGTAAGTCAACTCTTCAAATGACAAAAAATAAAATGTTTAAAACAAGCTTCTCAGTCTTGAAGCGTCTTACAATAGGTGTATGTAATGTAGGCTGTTTAAGGATTGTATTTGTAAAATAACAGCCACTCCCTTTTTAAAAAAAAATAACATAGTTAAATTTAGTTTCGTTTTTTTCGAAAGCTACTGTACCATAATCTTAACCGATTCACCTTAGGGAGAGAGAAACAAAGAGTCACATGTGGAGATAATTATTTCTTAGCTTTTATTACCTTTTGAAAAAAAAAAAAAAGGTTTCAAACTCCAGGAGCTACACATAGCTCAGGAGCAACACATAGCTCAGGAGCTACACATAGCTCAGGAGCAACATTGTCATGTGACGTATTGGGGATTACAGGCCAAAGATGAAGTCCTGAACAATATATAACCTTTGAAATAACTATAACATTCAACATGAACAATCTTATGTGTATGTGTGTGTGTGTGTGTGCTTGTGTGTTTTTGAGAGCTATAGTGACGTCATAAATGGCACGCGTCGTTGACAGCTGAGCCGTCGTTATAAAATCTAAAATATTTTCCTTAACTTCCCTGAATACCTCACAGCGCCAATGGACCGTGAACAAGGGACGATGCGGCCTGTGCGGTGACCCGTACGACGGCCCCAGAGAGCAGGAAGCAGGAGGGAAATACGCAACAGGAACCATTGCTCGGACGTACAGGTACATTAAGGCTCAACTTTAAGATAATAACATTTCAATCTAATTTTTAGGGCCCGTTTACAGGGAGATGGCAAGAACGGATTAATTTAGTTATAATTTCAATCACAAAGTCGGACTAGATTACTATAAAAAAACAAAAGAAAACACGAGAGCAAATAAAATCAACAAGCACAGAAACCAAAGATACATTAAACAACCAATACCAGAAATTATAGGATTTTTTTTAAACATCTCAATCTTTATACATTCATATCTATTATGTGGACAAAAATGAATAAATTATTTAACATCATAATGTATACTCTTTATTTGGCTTAGCTGACCCTAAAGCACTAGAGCATAGATCATCTCTGTGCGATATAACATGTAGATCAACTTTGACCTTCCCGTCTCTTCAACGCGGAGAGATTAAACAGCATATCTGGCCTTGAGCTCAGAGCGCGGTAGCTGGGACGCGCTGCCTCGCGACCAACTGACCAGACATTCTTGTGCCTTCATTCATCTAAACAGGAACTTGGGCGCCAATAAACATTCCTCAAAAGCTTGCATTTTTCAGCGAAGAAAAGAAAGTTTTCTTGCAATTTAAAAAAAATAATTGCACATCAACACAAAGGTCTTTCATTTCTCTTCGTTTCTTTCTTGTCAAAATCGTTTCATGTCTGGACCCTTTTGCCGTTTTAAATTGTTGATTGTTTTCGAAGATTCTCGACTTTTCAATGAATAAACTATAGCGCCTAGGTTACCAGTAGTGGATGCCACACATAGACGTGAAGGTGCTATAGAGTACATACGTGTTTAACTTCATCATGAATATCGAACCTTTGAGAGTGCTTAGATGTCAAACTAAATACACCTGATGTTCCAAGTGGCTAACCAATTTGTGGACCTGCAGTGGCTAACCAGTCTGTTGACCTGGTGTGGCTAACCAGTGTGTTGACCTGCAGTGGCTAACCAGTGTTTTGACCTGCAATGGCTAACCAGTGTGCTGCCCTGCAGTGGCTAACCAGTGTGTTGACCTGCAGTGGCTAACCAGTGTGTTGACCTGCAGTGGCTAACCAGTTTGTGGACCTGCAGTAGCTAACCAGTGTGTTGACCTGCAGTGGCTAACCAGGCTTTTGAACGATGCACTGAGTGTTAAATGGCTTAAGGGGGTCTTCTACACTAAGTCAGATCTTGAAAACAAACTAAAATCCATGAATATTTTCAGCTATAATGCAAACAACTCATATGTAAAAGCAACTCACCCTATTTAAAAAAATATTAACAGCATTACTTTTGCTCCATTAAATCAGATCGCTTCACAGAATCATCGGCGGTCTATGTATAAAAATATATTCAACATTATAGTTCAGAAAGATCTTAATATGTTTAAATTTTAAAAAAATAATTAAAAACATCTTTGTCTTGACATTTTTCATATTCAAATACTTTTGTGGCGCCTTAAAATATAGTTTTTGGTGTTACAATACAACTTCACGCAATTAGGATGAATGCATTCCATAGTAGACTGGTGTTTTATTAATCTCTATTAATACACGCGTATACCAAAATACTTCCAATTCTTGCATCAGAGTTGCGCAATATTAACAAAAAAACCAACAGAACAAAATAGTCCAAAGGAAGTTAATATGCAATTAAACTTGACGCCAATTAATGCATTATAAATACTTCCATTTCGTTGTCCCAGAGCAGACTTCAAATGTCTTACATTTTTAAATTGAAATGCTACATTTCAAATATTAATATCTTAGATTCCCCCAAAAATTTGACACATTCAAAAAAACAACAACCGCTAATGGATTCTTTGATAACACGGTCTTTGTGGGCAAGACGCAGACAAAGTGTTCGAGTAGCGGTTCCTGTTGCTAATGGACGCCAAATCCTAAATTATAATTTTGAGTACACGATGGATTCAATTTGCTGTGGTCAGTGATTACACAATTTTGAGAAGCCCTTGCAGAAATTAGTTTAAATTTTTTTTTTTTTACTCCTAACGACCCCTTTTCCTTAAAGTCTTTTTTTTAAAGGAAATATGCATTTTAATTGATTAAATTCGTCCCTTGCAACTTCTGTAAGTTTTACGCAACCATAAAGTATTATTGTAGAAGAGAAATGTTTATTTATATTATATTTTGAGAAGGATGTACTTAAAGGATATCATTATACTGGGCCGATACAATGGCCCTCGTTGGAATTAGTGTCTCCCCAGAGAGGGAGAAGGGTCAAGGTTTGTGCCATCTGTTCAAGAAAAAAAAAATCAACAAAAAAAATCACTCCGCTACATAAAGAAAAATTGTTGTAGCCGGGGCTAATCCCCCCCCCCCCCCCAAAACCCCCCCCCCCACCCCCCCCCCCCAAAGGTTTGTCCCATCTGTAAAAAAAAAAAAAAAACAAAAAAAAAAACCCCCCCGCTACAAAAAAAAAAATTGTTGTAGCCGGGGCCAACCCCCCCCCCCCCCAAACCACCTCACTCCACCTCGCTCCACCACTGGTTTGATATCGTACCACATATTACAAGGCTGGTACAACACCAGCCTTAAGCGTGAACAATCTTGATTTAACTCAGGCCAGAAGTGGCAGGCAATCATTTTCCTACCCCGATGGAGCGTGAAGAGCTAGAGATAAATTTGGAAAGATGGCGATTTGTCAAATAAATTTGTAAAAATATGACGTCGTGATAATAATCTGTCCTCTTTCAGGCAGGGTGACGTCATCCCCGTCGCGGTCCAGCTGACACAAAGTCACTTGGGCTGGTTCGAATTCAGGCTGTGCCCATCGGAGCCTGCAACACAAGACTGCCTGGATTCCCACCTCCTCCCACTTGCCAATGGCTCAAGGCGCTACACGGTAAAATCCTCTAATGGTTTTATAATTACATCTACGTATTTTGACTCTGAAAAGTTTAGGAGTAAGTTTCCAAAACATTACAATATGGTGGACCAGTGGAAAACGTTTCCCATTGAAACAGGGACTGGTGCCATATTTTTTTACTCTAAATATTTTGTAAAGTATTTGTCAATCAGCCATCCTCCAATTTGAGTGGGCTCTTGTTAACTATTGCCATTTATTCCTTGACGAATTCAGTCGTTTTTTGTAGTGGCTGTTAAACTTTATTTAAAATGACTTTCTGCCGAAACCGAAGCCGAAATCGAAGCCGAAACCAAAAATGAAATATTTAGGTATTTTGAAATTCGTTCCCGCATACATTCTGCATACATCAAAAATGATGTTTTAAAGTATAAATATTTACATTATTTTTATACAAAATGAGATAATCGTGAATATTAATAAATAAACATTCAATATAACATATTGTTGTTAAAGATCGTTTAGTTTGTTCTTAAAGATCGCTTAGTTTGTTCTTAAAGATCGCTTAGTTTGTTGTTAAAGATCGCTTAGTTTGTTGTTAAAGATCGCTTAGTTTGTTGTTAAAGATCGCTTAGTTTGTTGTTAAAGATCGTTTAGTTTGTTCTTAAAGATCGCTTAGTTTGTTGTTAAAGATCGTTTAGTTTGTTATTAAAGATCGCTTAGTTTGTTGTTAAAGATCTCTTAGTTTGTTGTTAAAGATCTCTTAGTTTGTTGTTAAAGATCTCTTAGTTTGTTGTTAAAGATCTCTTAGTTTGTTGTTAAAGATCGCTTAGTTTGTTGTTAAAGATCTCTTAGTTTGTTGTTAAAGATCTCTTAGTTTGTTGTTAAAGATCTCTTAGTTTGTTGTTAAAGATCTCTTAGTTTGTTGTTAAAGATCGCTTAGTTTGTTGTTAAAGATCGCTTAGTTTGTTGTTAAAGATCTCTTAGTTTGTTGTTAAAGATCGCTTAGTTTGTTGTTAAAGATCTCTTAGTTTGTTGTTAAAGATCTCTTAGTTTGTTGTTAAAGATCTCTTAGTTTGTTGTTAAAGATCTCTTAGTTTGTTGTTAAAGATCGCTTAGTTTGTTGTTAAAGATCGCTTAGTTTGTTGTTAAAGATCTCTTAGTTTGTTGTTAAAGATCACTTAGTTTGTTGTTAAAGATCGCTTAGTTTGTTGTTAAAGATCGCTTAGTTTGTTGTTAAAGATCTCTTTGTTTGTTGTTAAAGATCGCTTAGTTTGTTGTTAAAGATCTCTTAGTTTGTTGTTAAAGATCGCTTAGTTTGTTGTTAAAGATCGTTTAGTTTGTTCTTAAAGATCGCTCAGTTCTTTGTTAATGATCGCTTTATTAGTTCTTAAAGATCGGTTAGTTTTTTCGTAAAGATCGCTTAATTTGTTGTTAAAAATAGTTTATTTTGTTTTTTAAGATCGCTTAGTTTGTTTTTAAAGATCGCTTAGTTTTTGTTTAAAGATCTTTTAGTTTGTTCTTAAAGATAATTTAGTTTGTTCAAAAAAGATCGCTAAGTTTTTTCGTAAAGGTCGCTAAGTTTGTGTTATTAAAAGATCGTTTAGTTTGTTCATAAAGATCGCTTAGTTTTTTCTTAAAGATCTTTGATTTTGTTCTGAAATATCGTTTAGTTGTTCTTAAAGATCATTCAGTTTGTTCTTAAAGATCGCTTATTTTGTTGTTGAAGATCGCTTAGTTTTTTCATAAAAATCAGATCGCTTAGTTTGCTCTTATAGATAATTGATTTTGTTTCTTAAGATCGATTAGTTTGTTCTTAAATATTTTTTAGTTTGTTCCTAAAGAACATTTAGTTTTCTGTTAAAGATCGCTTAGTTTATTCTTATAAATCATTTAGTTTACTATTAAAGAACATTTGTTCTGTTCTTAAAGATCATTTAGCTCGTTCTTAAAAATCGCTTAGATTGTTCTTAAAGATCGTTTTGTTTGTTCTTAAATGTCGCTTAGTTTGTTGTTAAATATCGCTTTATTTGTTTTTAAAGATCGTTTAGTTTGTTCTTAAAGATCACTTTATTTTTTCTTAAAGATCGTTTAGTTTGTTCTTAAATATCGCTTAGTTTGTTGTTAAATATCGCGTTCGCTGAGTATTAGATGACTGAAAACCTCACCGAAAAAAACGAAAGTTAACTTTTCTCTTTCGGCCGAAACCGAAATTAAGCTGAAAGTTAACTTTCAGTTTTGGCCGAAACTGAAATTTTGCCGAAAGTGATAAAATGGCCAACTTCGGCACTGAAACCGGAGCCGGAGCCGAAATTCGGTCGGTATCTAAAATGAATATAGTGTCTTGTCTCATGTTATACGTGCCGGAAATGTGAGGCTCGCGAACTGGCGACGTAACAAGCCCGGAAATATGGTTCATTGACCAACAACATATAGCTCGCCGACCTGAAACATAAAGCTCGCAGATCGCCAACTTATGAGTGTCGGAACGGAAACGTAAGGCCCACAGACCAGCAAGTTAAAGCTCACGAGCCAGCAGTGGATTGGCACCGTAAGGCTCACATACTGGCAACGTAGGCTCGCTGTCCAAAACTTTGGAAAACACCAGTTTGTAATATAGTCAATCAGATTGCCCCTTATGTCATCAGGCCTCGACGTCGTGTTTTCCAGTTGTCATGTTTCATTGTGATTGTCATCCTAACACACTGCCGCTTTTAAATCAGATATTTAGGTCTTCTGTTATTTTTCCGTGAAGCCTGAAGGTCAAGGGCTCTGATGTCTTTTCGTCCACCCTTGCTTTGTCCAAATGAATTCCCCTATGCTTCTCGACACTTATTAATTTACTAATCAATCCATTCAACAATCTCCCTCACGTTCCTTCATGCCAATACTTTCCTTCATGCCAATCATTTATCATGACGCATGTGTTGTTCACCACGCTACATCCATGAGTTAAGTCCATCACAGCTCCACGATGTTTCTTAAAGCCAGACCCCCACCCCCCCCCCCCCCCACCCCCCCCCCCCCCACAATCATGCCAATCATTTATCATGACGCATGTGTTGTTCACCACGATACATCCATGAGTTAAGTCCATCACAGCTCCACGATGCTTCTTAAAGCCAGACCCCCACCCCCCCCCACACACACACATTCCCCTTGGGGCTGATTTTATATGGGCTCGGGCTTAGCTGAATCTTAGCCGCGCTGGTGGATTCAATGAATCGCTGAAAATTGCATGTTACACTCGTCAATGCATAAGCCATCTATTTTTCATTAATATGTAGATCACATTTTAGATTGAACCTAAAATGAACTGGTTTATTATAAGAAAAAAATGTGTAACTGCCACACGACCACAACCTACTCTACCCGCATATTCCGTTTGATTCATTGTAGGTCTAATTAAATTGTTTATTGGGAGAAAAAAAATCGAATATCTATTCCATTATCAGAATCGATAACCTATTAATTTTTTACTTCGTCTTTTTCATTTAGCGATACACAAGGGCAAAAACAATTAATAAATGATCATTGATTTAGCGTCTCCTTGACAATTTCGGCTTTAAAAATGAAAATTGGAGCAGCGGGGTATCGATCCCCGTACCTCTCACATGCTAAGCGAGCGCTCTACCACTTGAGCTACAGCCCCTTTAAAGGCCACGCTGTCAGTATAATGTTCGTATAATGACTGTCAATATTTTCATGGTTAAAAAATCGCCCCATTGTTTTCGTTGATATGAACGAAGGTATCGCATCAAATCATTCTATGTGAACAAAGATTTCCTCAATATTATTCTCTCTCTCTCTCTCTCTCTCTCTCAATCTCTCTGTCTCTCTCACGCTATCTCTCTCTCCCTAGAAGTCATCAAGCATTTTGTTCATTCCTTTCATAATAATTCAATACACCAGGTCCAGTGGTCCCTCCCCTTTGCGCCTTTGACTGTGCTCAGAGTTATACCAAACGAGCAAGATGCCATCTAATCTAACGTTTCTAAAACACTTAAGCTTGTCGGACCGTTGGACCAGCTTCCCATTGCCCAAGTGACCGATGCCAGATTTATTTATTATTTGGCTTTTTATTTGACCATACATGATGTGATACATTTTTTTTTTTTTTTAAATCCGTGATCAGCTAGTTGCAAAGGGTTGTCTTTATTATAAATTTTTTATTGAAATTGCTCTTGAAAACTTTCTCTATGGAGATTAATTGGTGAGAAAGTTGTACCGGATACTTGGAACCACCACCGAGTCAAACACTCAGTACAATTAGGGTATGAAAGAAGTCCTTCTTTGGTGAGTTGGAATTGTTTAAAAGTATTGTTAAATCTATACATTTCTTCTGAACGATGCCCTTTTCTCGCAACAAGCAGGACAATCTACGTAAAACTTACAAAGAATTTTATTTATCTACCAATCGCAATAAATGAGCTTGAAGTCGGATGGGGTCGCGAATTTCCAGGTAAATCAAGAAAAGGTAACTCCCAGAGGACAACGGACCGGGGAATATCCGGTCTTTACCTTCTTGAGGCCATTAGAGAAATTGACCCAATGAAGTTCTGATCCGTGGAGTACACTGTTTGGTTTGATTTCCAGAAAAGAGAAGCGAAATAGAGGACATCAGCGTATCTAAGAGTGCGTTAGATAGACCATTAAATTAACATGACATTAGAGAAGACAGACGAAACTCGGGCGTTTGGGGTGGGTGGGGTGAGGGAGCTATTATATAGAGTAGATTCAAAAAGTACAAACTTTTTTTTTTATAGAACAAAGTGTGTTTCTCTTTTACATTACTTTCTCGTTTGATTGTAAATATATCATGCATCACATTTTCCTTTTAGAAAATTAAATCAAATCTTGAGTTATCGCTTCACTTGCCAATATAAAATCAAATAGTTTTTTCTGATTTTTTTTTTACTTCTATGATGTTCTTTTAAACCGATGTTCCGTGGAACTTAAGGGTTCCGTGGAATTTAAGGGTTCCCTGGAACTTAAGGTTTCAGTGGAATTTAAAAGTTCCCTGGAACTTATGGGTATCATGGAACGTAAGGGTTCCCTGAAACTAAGGGTTCTTAGGGTTCGGTGGGTGTCAGCCAGGGTTTCCACCAGTGGCCAGTAGATTTATAAATAGAAAGGCCGAAATCGCCAGTGAACTAGTCTGGCAGTGGCGGTACTAGCTGGCAGTAGCTGGCAGTAGCTGGCAGTAGTTGGCACTCTGCGGTAACTACAAGTATTTTTAAACCGCTTCATTACTGTTTCCGTTGCTGTATTGATGAGCGTTTCAATTTTGAATGATGTGTCGCAAGACGGTCGTATGTGCACGACAATGGACCAACATTTTTTAAGAAGAGAAGAATAGACGATACCGAAAATGACAATGAAAGTAAGACTTAGTTGGAGTCGACTGAAGCTACTGCATGTACCGGGTCAAATGACTCGAACGTGCGAAAAATTAACGTTTTCCTATTGGAATCTTATAGTCCGTCAGTAGATGGGAGTTACTTGGACAGGAGACCCATTTGGAATGTAACAATGATACTTGGAAAGGAGTATGGGGCACCGCTAGCAATCTAAACGTCCCAATAAAAATGTTGAAAAACATTTACCACGTCTAAAATCATTTCAAAGAACCCGGAACAAGCATTGCAAAATAAAACAAACAACAACAACAAAAATGGGAGTCGCTTAGTCACTTCCTTGTTTGGTCACGTGATGTGAGTAAGCCATCACTAGGCTGCTACACACAACAAAAGATACTTCATCAGTGCTTCCCCAGTGTCATGTTACTTAAAAATTTTACCTTTCGAAATATTCTGGAATACATGCGTTTTTAAATGAAATACATAAATGTAACAATAAATATACGTCAGTTATGATTAAAGGAAGAAAGTTATTTCAAGAAAAATTTGTGAGCGATATTCGATGGGAACTATCAATACTATTATCGGCAGGATGTTGTTGAGCGCCGTGCGTGCTCATGACGTCATTTGCGTTTTTATTCAATATTGATGCAGGAGTCATTCCCCTTTGTTTATTTTATTGTTAATTTTCATTGGACGAAATGTAGTGTAGTTGTAGTGTGTATCGGGCTACTGTTGTCAAGCACTAGTGTGTTGTATACAGCCTACCGGAAGTCTTACTTGTTTTTACTCACATCACGTGACAAATCAATCGACTAAGCGACTCCCATTAACAAACAAAGTGTGTCACATAAAACATCACTTCAATTCTCGTAAATGTACTTCCGGCTGCAACAAGATGGTTGAGAAAAAATTCAAAAGAACACAAAAGGAAGGAAACATGGATTTGACAAGAAAATAATTGTATGAAATAGTTTCTTTCTTTGGAATATATGCTTAAGAATCTTTACAAGATCAGAATCTTTGTTTCGGATACGTAATTTTTCTCTTAACAACATTTCGTTAACAAAATCTCCATTGTCACTATACAAAGGATAATAATAATAATAATAATAATAAGAGGTCTTATATAACGCGGTACACCAGCCTATTTCTGGGCTCACCGTGCTGTACATAGTCATGACAAGCAAAAGAGACATAATCATGACATTAAAATAAAATACATTTATGAATTGAAGAAAAGCAATATATATTCACCCACCCTACCACATAACTTTTACAAGGCAAACCATGGACGGCAGCCAGCACGATCGTTTATCGGTCAGAGGAGGGGAATCAGTCAGGGTAGTATAATTGAAAAATATATGTTTTCAGTGCAGTTTTGAAGGCCTGGGTGGTTGGTATATTGCGTATGTGTAGTGGCAAAGAATTCCATTGTTTGGGGACGCAGAAAGAGAAAGATCGTTCACCATATGTTTTAGTGTGTGTCTTGGGAACGGACAGAATACGCGTGTCTGCAGAGGAGCGAAGCTGTCGAAGGGATGAATAACGTCCGGCTACAACAAGATAGCGGTATAATAATACACAAAATGAAGGAATCTCAGTGTGTAGGCGCTTCAGTAAGGCCAGGGAGATAGTTAAAAATGATTATTGGAAATTGGCTTCGGCGCAAGAAAATTCGAACTTTTAATAAAGTTTAATTGTTTTGCGGTTTCATTCAGATTTATGCTGTTATCAACGTATTTCTCCTTCTAAATACAACTGCAATATAGATCTACTGTTAGGCTGAAAAGGAAGAAGCCATCTTATTCGGAAACAGCCGGAAGTCTCTGTACTCAGCTCTCATCTGTGGTTCCAAGAAGCTGTAACATGCACAACGATTCCAGGTTGAGGGTAGCCGAAAGACATAGAACTTTCGGAAAAAGGGGGTTGTCCCCCATAGCATGTAAAGACTGGATCAGGCCAATTGTGCGGAAGAACAACTACTTGGTCAACGGACAAAAGGCGGAGACAGCATAGTGGTGTGAATCACTGAGATCATGGCCAGACACGTAGAACGCCATGGTCATTCACTGCATGGGTGACTGGGTGGCCGAATGTTCTAAACTGAGCAAACCTCAATTCCAGCCAAAGGCCGGTCAAGCAAAAACATCACCCCGGATGGATGAGACTCGTTAACCTTGGTCGGCAACTCATCTAAGAGAAGGAAACTCTGAATTCAAACCCGGAGTTCGAGTCCCATAAGGCGCATACAATGACAATTCCTGCAACCGTACCCATCCCTAGTCGTCTTGACGTAGAGTCTTGCCACTGGATATGGTGCGAGAGAGTCAGGTTGACGCCGCGCAACTCTTCCTCACTTTAAACAAAAGTCACTTGCGTAAGTCATCAGTCACCAGACGACTCGATGGTCATCGCCGATCCTCGACGGACGAACAACAACAAATGTTTATTCCATTTTAAATAACAGTTTAACCCCTGACAAATTATGTTATCTATTTTTTAATAGTTTTTAAAATCAATCAATTATTTATTTTTTTTCTTTGGTCCGTAAAAAGACCAAGCCTTGAACTTGAGTTTACGGTTCAAAGACGATTCATGCGTTCCAATTAAAACTGCATCAGTTGATTACTTTGTGTATACACCGGTTGACTAAGCACTCGCCCTGACCTTGACAATGAGATTCTGCAATGAGCCCATTCAATAAAGTCTTTCTCAACCATTTCTCTTCAGCGATATATTATTTTTTTTTCCCTATCATGAACCACGAGTCAGTCTTATAGTTTCCATGGCAGGCGAGGCCCATGCGGTCGTTTAGATTATTCTCTGATAAGCTTCTGCCCGAGAAAATGAAATCTTCATCGAGCGGCTGGAATTGTCTAAATTGCCTTCGCCAGATTGTGTTTCTTCCACCGGTGTCTCAAAGAGTTTGAACACAGTCTTTAGATTCTAACACCGTGCAAGGAACAACTGCGTTATTTGCCGATGGTTAACATGATATCTGAAAGTTAGTACCAAACCAATTTGTTTGAAAAAATGGCGCTGAAACGGAAGTTTATTGGAACGAAAGTTTGTTGAAAGAGTGGAGAAAAGAAAAAAAAAAAGTTTGAATTTCCTACATTTCGAAATCGCCCATCCACGTGAAAAAAAACATTTAAAAAAAAAAAAAATTCTCCAGTAAATATATTTTTATCGAACAAACCTCGGTTGTGACTTAAATTCCGTTCGAAAAACATTCCTTCTAACAATTGGTTTCAAGCAAAACAGTTTTGTACTAATTTTCGGTACATGAATAGTGGAACAAGATATGTTTAGGTGAGGGGAAAAAAAGAGAAAGCTTAATGAGATTCGGGCCGATTCCTTCTTCTAAACCTTAAGCTACTTTGGCGTTTTTTGAGATTTTCCAACACGTAATGTTGATTTAAATTTATATTTCTAATTATCTATTGATTCCTGTTTTGTCAAGTATGCTGAAGAGTGCATGCGGCCGAAATATCCTCTTTTTCGTTCCGCATCTTCTTTTCATATCTTGCTCTGCTTGTTAATGATGGATGGGCAAAATTATATTTTAAAAGTCTAGAAAAGGTATTTTTAAAAGCACCGCCGTTGCTCACTTATGAGTCCACATCTTCCGTAGATGGCAGGGCTCAAGAAATTTTAGAATCCCTGAATTTTCTTCACCTAATAACATGCTAGAGATCCGAAGATATTATCGAAAAGTTTTTTTGTTTTTTTTCCAACTGGGAAAATGGAAAATGAGTTTATCGATGAACTCAGAATAGAACATGTGTCTGCAGAGCTGGCGTTGATGTCACCAGTATGTGGTTCGTCTGTGACCTGCCGCCCTGTGTCTGAAGCGTCATATAGAAATATGATGTCATTAGCATGTGTTTCGACCTTGACCTACCTTCTTGTTGTACCTGATGAACATAGCTGTTTCTGGCATTGCATTACAGTTCGTATTTAAACATGACTTGTTTCTTTTTTCGGTTTTCTTTTGCTATAAATCTCCTCAAGAGAAGAGAGCTTTAGCGTTTTTTTTTTAAATGAATGATTATTTTTGACCACGTTAAAACCAGCAAAATTCGCTTTAAAACATTTTTTTTAATACTCCTACTCCGGGAAGCCCCTTCCATACCTATGATGTCTTTCTCTCTTGCCACAAAGGGGCTATCAAAACCTCAAAAATTAAGTCCCTGTGTTTACCACACTTTACATTAAACACCGTTGTTTATTTTGAGCACATTCCCCTTTCCACACAACCAACATTTCCCCTCACATTATTCCTTCTTTGTAATTCCTTATCTCTAACTTTCACATACAAATTCTTCCAATTTCACATTAGTTGTTTTTTTTTCTCTCCATTTTTTGTATTCCAAACTAACAGGGCTTTCATTGACTTGTTCGTTGTATTTATCTATTGCATTCCAAATCACTCGGTATTTTAATGATTCAATATTTACTCGCATTCCATCCGGGGTTGGAGACGACAAGCCTGGAATGGTAATTCTTAAACGAGGCGAGCCCTGGTTCAATGCGCAACACTCTATGGCTTATCACACCAGTGTTTCCTAAATTGTTTTTTTTTCCGGACATCGCTTTGTTTGGATAAAGAAAGTACTCCCGCCCCACCCCCACCCCGCCTATTGAGTGTGTAAACCATGTCATTATTTGGGGAATAAAATCCCATGAGGATGTCTAATTTCCCATCCTGTCCTGGGTCCTTCCCTTACAATAAACACACCCAATGAGCTAACTTTAAAAAAAAAAAAAAACTCTTTGTACTCTATACCAAACCTTCATCTCAACGCATTCATTTAAGCTCAGATTTTGAACTTCTCGACAACAGTACACATTGTTAACCTGGCGTAGAGTGTACATTACGTTTAGTCTAATTGAACGATTACAATGCTCAGACTTCATTGTACGTTCAGAGGCTATACCCTCTGAGTGTCATTTTGGTAGCTGTGGGTAAACCCTAGGCTATCACCTCTGAGTGTCATTTTGATAGCTGTGGGTAAACCCTAGGCTATCTCCTCTGAGTGTCATTTTGGGAGCTGTGGGTAAACCCTAGACTATAACCTCTGAGTGTCATTTTGGTAGCTGTGGGTAAACCCTAGACTATAACCTCTGAGTGTCATTTTGGTAGCTGTGGGTAAACCCTAGACTATAACCTCTGAGTGTCATTTTGGTAGCTGTGGGTAAACCCTAGGCTATACCATTTGAGTGTCATTTTGGTAGCAGTGGGTAAACCCTAGGCTATACCCTCTGAGCGTCATTTTGGTAGCTGTGGGGAAACCCTAGGCTATGACCTCTGAGCTTCATTTTGGTAGCTGTGGGGAAACCCTAGGCTATACCCTCTGAGCGTCATTTTGGTAGCTGTGGGGAAACCCTAGGCTATACCCTCTGAGCGTCATTTTGGTAGCTGTGGGGAAACCCTAGGCTATACCCTCTGAGTGTCATTTTGGTAGCTGTGGGTAAACCCTAGGTTATACCCTCTGAGCATCATTTTGGTAGCTGTGGGGAAACCCTAGACTATACCCTCTGAGTGTCTGTTTGGTAGCTGTGGGGAAACCCTAGGTTATACCCTCTGAGCGTCATTTTGGTAGCTGTGGGTAGCTGCTGTACCATACTCAGAAAAATGCTGATGAGTGTCATTTTGGTAGCTGTGGGTAATCCCTAGGCTATACCCTCTGAGTGTCATTTTGGTAGCTGTGGGTAAACCCTAGGCTATACCCTCTGAGCGTCATTTTGGTAGCTGTGGGGAAACCCTAGACTATACCCTCTGAGTGTCTTTTTGGTAGCTGTGGGGAAACCCTAGGTTATACCCTCTGAGCGTCATTTTGGTAGCTGTGGGTAGCTGCTTTACCATACTCAGAAAAATGCTGTATCATTATACTATCTTAATTTGCCGGTGTGTTGGCAAGCAATATGCAGATGATGTTATGTGATTGACTCTGAGAGTGAAAATTAAGCATTGCTGAAACCTGTCAGTTTTAAGCATTTTCAAAGGATTACATTACCAACACACACATTTTAAAAAAAAAAGGAAAGTGCGAGAATGGCAGAGAGCGAGAGAGTGAGGGAGACAATGAAATCGAAAAAAGAGACAAACGAACAACGAGGGAATAGGATAATTATCGAATAGAGACATAGTGAGTGAGAGACAGGGCGAGCACTATAAACAATTTTATTTGAATCGGAATTCCATTATTGTCTTGGGGTCGACTGAAATTATTGGCGACAAAACGAAAACCCAACAAACAAAATAGACATTCTTTTTTTTTTTTTTAAACATCACGATGGCACGTGCTTATAAAGAATTTCCTTATTTTGGTCCAGTAGAATGTCTTTATGTTGGTCCAGTAGAATGTCTTTATGTTGGTCCAGTAGCGCTTTCAAACACCAACCACAATAATAACCCATTTGATTTAAACACGGTGGACCTCGAACTGAAAAAAAAAATGCTTTATTAATCATTTTTTAAACAACGTTATTACAATTTTCATTTTATGTCGCCATTATGGTGCCCACTTAATAATTTATGAAGATCTGCCCACGGGTGTTAATTAAGGCTCAGGAAATGCGCGGTCCTGTCGCGGGAAGGGCGCCCCTTATATAGGTTCTACGTCACCGGCTCAGCCGATCGATGAGTGGGGGGGGGACTTTTGTCCAGGAAACCACATGTAATATTTGAGCAATGCCAAGGACACGGCTACGATGCCGACAACAATTTAGCTTAGTCTCGGCTTTAATTTTCTGTTGGTCTTCACATTCCCATGGCTTCATGAGTTTTTTTTTTTTGTTATACATGACGGCAGTCCCAGAACCACACTAATGAGAATAAGCGCATGTGGAAGCTGAATGATACAGCACAAGGCACCACCTCAGTGGATGAAATGTGGCGGGAAATGCTAGTTAGGTATCCGGAAATTTATTCAAAAGATATTATCAGCTCGATTGAAAATGGTTATTTTCTACGGAGTTTTTTTCGAAAGGAAGTTTCTTCGAAATGAAATTTGTTTTAACATAAATTTATTCATTTATTTGATAAATGCGTTTTATGGGAAGTGTGCGAGAGACAAATGGAAAAGGGGGGGGGAGGGGGGGGGACAATTTAAGCTTGATTTCTTGGGGGGGGGGGTCGCCCATTTTTTGTTCCTTTCAATCAATTTTACGCCGAACAAAAGAAACATGCCTTAGAAGTAATTTCCAGTGACCGTTTCCAGGAGACGAAGTCAAAAACATTTCTCTGATCTTCATTTTTCTTCATTTACAAGGAGCCGTAAACTCTTGATTCTAACACCTTTTTATACACGGTATGTGCATGATGGTTTTGTGATTTTAGTCCCCATAGACTTAAAGCTGCTATCACAAAGAAACCATGGGTATTCAGTCAACTTAAATCTACTGATCAAATAATAACTAACCTAAAGGTTTTCAATTGTTTCTTTTTTCTTTTTAAAGGTTCTCAGCAAGGAAAGCATCATCCACAACATGACGCTGAGGCTCCCCTACAATGTTTCCTGCTCACATTGTGTTCTGCAATGGAAATATAATACAGGTCAAATGGGCTTAGTGGCGCCCCCAAACCCACCCCCCCCCCCGCCCCAAAAAAATGTATCTTTCGACCCTTTATTTGTATAAACTATTTTGTTATCTAACACATGATTTCCTTGATACATCTAAATTGCTTTTATTGTATCAAAACAGTCTAAATGGTATATAATGTATCCCACCGTCTAAATTGCATATAATGTATCAACACAGTCTAAATTGTATATAATGTATCAACACAGTCTAAATTGTATATAATGTATCAACACAGTCTAAATTGTATATAATGTATCAACACAGTCTAAATTGTATATAATTTATCAACACAGTCTAAATTGTATATAATTTCGGACGCAGGTAACTCTTGGGGCTGTGAAGAGGACACTTCTAAATGCTGCCTTGGTTGCGGCCCCCAGGAACAATACTTCGGGTGTGCAGACGTAGCCATACTCCATCCAGAAGGTTCTAAAACGGTTGACGTGAGATTTTATTTATTTTTCCTTTATTATAACATCTGGACATTAAATAACTTATCTTATTGGATGGGGAAAGCCTAATGATGTTTAAACAATATGAAGCTTTCCATATGTTTTACATAGAAGAAACAGAAACATTCTTTGACAATGATGGCTTGCCGCTGTAAAATATTTACGATGCTGAAGTTTATTTTTGACCCTTACTCATAGAAAATATCCTATTCTTGTTTCCATAGAAACGAAACAACACTACACCTCGCTAGCGATCGCGAGCAAGGAAGGCAACTTCTAAGCAATTCAGTCTGAGCACAAGGGAAGCACAGTTATAGAACTTTGGAAGGAATGATAACCCAAAATCATGACATAAATTTTTAACACGATCATTTAAAAAAATGAAGAATGACAAAGGCGTAGGAGATAAATAGATCGCATTCAAGTAGGGGAATTCCCACACACATCAAGCGAGAATGTTGCGTCACCTATTAATTTATATAGCACAAAGCTGATGTGATGAAAATCTATAAACATTTTAATTGCTATCGTCCAGAAAGTGTGTCAGTCTCGGACATCTTTGTAGTGGTATGACACAGAATAATGAAGGATTTACAGCAATGTGTCCTGTGATGTCGTATTACTATAACTGACATTTGGAAATCAGCTAAATTTTTTTTTTAATCTAATAATTTTATTTTGAAAGGTGTTTTTTATGCAAGATATTTGATATTTATAATTTTTTTAATAATAAAAAATATTTTCTTTGACAGCTGTGTTTGCCATTCTTAAAAAATGTGTTATTGAGTTTGGAGGCTATGCCTTTTTGTCAGCTCGGGGTCAAATCTTGTGTGAATCTCTTCCACCAATTAATTCCAAACCACATTTTTTTTCCGGTTGTATTTTGAACAATAGTTTAAAACTTCGCTAAATATAAAATAGAACGTACATTTTGGTATGAGGAACCACTTCATTAGCACCTAAGTAATCCTTTGTACGCCTGTATACCCTTTTAAGGCCCACCGATGGGGTATAGCAAGCGCAAAGGCTAAAGCGAGTTCGGAGCATTGGAGCACATTCTGGTTGCGTAAAAGGGAACGCATTCAAGGGCGATGCTTCTTTTTGCAACGAATTTTTTTGTACAATGAGTTTGAAAACTCTTTCACTTTTAATAAACAAGGGGGGTGGGGGGGAGGTGGACGGAGTGGTCAGACCCGGTCGGCACTTTTTTGAAACAAAATTAGGGGAGTGGGGGTAGGATTTTCAGATGACTTTATTTATAACCTGTATGTCTTAGTATCTCTGGCGTATTGTCTCGGTTTCATGTTGTTGTTTTTTTGTGAGAGCACGGTGGTTAAGTCTAAGACCGCCCCCCCCTACCCCAACTGGTCTCTCCAACTCAAGCGGCTCTAGATCAGAGATCGATCAGTCAAATAAAGTCTTTAAGTTTTATCCGTTTCCGGTGTCGTGTTAGGTCAAACACAGGCTTAATAGGGAATTACGATTAATTATCATGCCAGAAAATCTCTCTCCTGTCGTGAGAGACCATCACAGTATCTACTTGTCTTTAGCACATGGTACAGTAAAAGAAAGCTAATGCAAGAATATCAAGTGCTGTAAACAACGATGCTTCCACATATTGCATCTTCTAAAGAACCTTTTATTACATGTCAATGTCTCTTTATAATGATCGTCACCGTTGACCGTTACGATATTGCCTACATACAACACCCTACTGATCAAAATGTTTCACAAGGTTGTCGAATAAAAGTGCACATGGACCTCGACTTTCCATAAAACAAATAAATGAACGAAATTGATTTCTTTCCCCCTCCCGTAAAAACAGGCGCACTCTTGCGAGTAACATAATGTCACCGACACTTCACAAGATCAAAATCCTCGTCAAATTTCTGTTTCAACGCATTATGTTGTAACACTAAATAGTACGTTCAAAAAGAAATTTGACGAAAATTTGAACGTGTGAACTGAGCGTAGATATAAAATTCTTATCTCCGACTTCTGAACATTGTCGGTGGTTTACTTGAGTTTTAAAGCAGACCGGCACAAAATTTTGACGTAGAAATTTATACGCAATTTTTAAAAAAATCTTATCATTTTTTTATTTTTTTTTGTAGAAGTGGCCATTATTTCACCGGCCTTAGTGCCAATTTTTCTGGGGATCCCGGTGGCACAGTCCACCCCCTAAATATGTTGTCTAGTAGCAAATCCAATTTTTCCGAGACAATGGTTAATTTATATATGCAGACATCAGAGACAAATATTAATTCCTAAATCCAGAATTTAGAGACAAATGTTAATTCCTAAATGCAGACTTCAAAGACAAATATTAATTCCTAAATGCAGACGTAAGAGACAAATATTAATTCCTAAATGCAGAATTTAGAGACAAATGTTAATTCCTAAATGCAGACTTCAAAGACAAATATTAATTCCTAAATCCAGACGTCAGAGACAAATGTTAATTCCTAAATCCAGACGTCAGAGACAAATGTTAATTCCTAAATGAAGACGTCAGAGACAAATATTAATTCCTAAATGCAGACTTCCGAGGCAAATGTTAATTCCTAAATGGAGACTTTAGAGGCAAATGTTAATTCCTAAATGCAGACGTCAGAGACAAATGTTAATTCCTAAATGCAGACGTCAGAGACAAATGTTAAATCCTAAATGCAGACGTCAGAGACGAGTGTTAATTCCTAAATGCAGACGCCAGAGACAAATGTTATTTCCTAAATGCAGACGTCAGAGACGAGTGTTAATTCCAAAATGCAGACGCCAGAGACAAATGTTAATTCCTAAATGCAGACGTCAGAGACAAATGTTAATTCCTAAATGCAGACGTCAGAGAAAAATATTAATTCCTAAATGCAGACTTCAGAGGCAAATGTTAATTCCTAAATGCAGACTTTAGAGACAAATGTTAATTCCTAAATGCAGACTTCAGAGACAAATGTTAATTCCAAAATGCAGACGTCAGAGACAAGTGTTAATTCCTAAATGCAGACGTCAGAGACAGATGTTAATTCCTAAATGCAGACGTCAGAGACAAATGTTAATTCCAAAATGCAGACGTCAGAGACGAGTGTTAATTCCTAAATGCAGTCGCCAGAGACAAATGTTAATTCCTAAATGCAAACGTCAGAGACATGTGTTAATTCTAAATGCAGACGTCAGAGACAAATGCTAATTCCTAAATGCAGACGTCAGAGTCAAATGTTAATTCCTAAATGCAGACGTCAGAGACGAGTGTTAATTCCTAAATGCAGATGTCAGAGACAAATTTTAATTCCTAAATGCAGACGTCAGAGTCAAATGTTAATTCCTAAATGCAGACTTCAGAAGCAAATGTTTATTCCTAAATGCAGACTTTAGAGTCAAATGTTAATTCCTAAATGCAGATTGCAGAGACAAATGTTAATTTCTAAATGCAGACGTCATAGACAAGTGTTAATTCCTAAATGCAGACGTCAGAGACAAATGTTAATTCCTAAATGAAGACGTCAGAGACGAGTGTTAATTCCTAAATGCAGACGTCAGAGACGAGCGTTAATTCCTAAATGCAGACGTCAGAGTCAAATGTTAATTCCTAAATGCAGACTTCAGAAGCAAATGTTTATTCCTAAATGCAGACTTTAGAGTCAAATGTTAATTCCTAAATGCAGATTGCAGAGACAAATGTTAATTTCTAAATGCAGACGTCAGAGACAAGTGTTAATTCCTAAATGCAGACGTCAGAGACGAGTGTTAATTCCTAAATGCAGACGTCAGAGACAAATGTTAATTCTTAAATGCAGACGCCAGAGACAATCGTTAATTCCTAAATGCAGACTTCAGAGAAAAATGTTAATTCCTAAATGCAGACGTGAGAGACAAATGATAATTCCTAAATGCAGACGCCAGAGACAAATGTTAATTCCTAAATCCAGACGTCAGAGACAAATGTTAATTCCTAAATGCAGACTTCAGAGACAAATGTTAATTCCTAAATGCAGACGTCAGAGACAAATGTTAATTCCTTAATGCAGACTTTAGAGACAAATGTTAATTCCTAAATGAAGACTTCAGAGGCAAATGTTAATTCCTAAATGCAGACTTTAGAGACAAATGTTAATTCCTAAATGCAGACTTCAGAGACAAATGTTAATTCCTAAATGCAGACGTCGGAGACAAATGTTAATTCCTAAATGCAGACGTCAGAGACAAATGTTAATTCCTAAATGCAGACGTCAGAGACAAATGTTAATTCCTTAATGCAGACTTTAGAGACAAATGTTAATTCCTAAAGGCTGATTTCAGTTGCAAATGTTAATTCCTAAATGCAGACGTCAGAGACAAATGTTAATTCCTAAATGCAGACGTCAGAGACAAATGTTAATTCCTAAATGCAGACTTCAGAGACAAATGTTAATTCCTAAATGCAGACGTCAGAGACAAGTGTTAATTCCTAAATGCAGACGTCAGAGACAAATGTTAATTCCTAAATGCAGACGCCAGACAAATGTTAATTCCTAAATGCAGACGTCAGAGACAAATGTTAATTCCTAAATGCAGACGCCAGAGACAAGTGTTAATTCCTAAATCCAGAAGTGCAGTTTTTTTTTTAACAAAATTTAAAAAACATCAATCACGTAATCGACTCCCGGAGATTCATCACACACACGTCAGGCAGGGATGGACGTGAAACGAGTGAAAGCCACAAAAATATTTGGACATTGGCTTAATCGATCTGGGCACATATAGGAGTCGGTCTGTAATCAATACACTGTCCTGCATTTGTACAGAGTACCCGAAGTCTTACCTCAGCGACCATTTGCGTTGTTCGAGATCGTCTCAGTGAGCTGTGACGTGTAATTAAAAAAAAAAAGAAAGTCTTGCACGATGACAAGGGCGGATCCTGGTCAGGAATCAAGTGAGTTTCCACTTTCGTTTCTTTTTTTAAGTTTTGCCCCCTCCCTTGTTGTACCACGAAGTAGCGCACATTTTGTTTTGGTATAATTTTACTGTAAGGTATAATCTTTTTAGTGTGTGAATTGCGTAAGGTTTAATTAGTTCCAAACCAATTTATCGATGCTTGTTACGAAGGAATGTTAATTTTTTTTTTTTTTTTTTTTTTTTTTGATACTTTTTAGAAAAAAAAAGGAATTTTTTTTTTTTACCCCCCCCCCCCCCCCAAAAAAAAATTGTCGATCACGCCGTCCCTTAAAAGATTTTGTTTTAAATCTACGTTTATACATTTTGTTTCGAACAAATTCCTGATCGAACTAACTTCCATACGAACAACATTCATGAGAACATAATGGTTTCGAACGAAAATTTGGTTGCTTACTAATTTCCGGTACTTGTTAAGTGGGCTAAACAGACGAATCTCAAAACTTGGGGCGCAGCCTCGAATTAATCGATACTTGACAACGAGCAGAAGATCACTTGTATTCAGGGACGTCATTTGGGTAGGGCATGGTGGGCAAAACCACCCACACCCCCACCCCCTGAATATGCTGTTTGTATTTAAATTGCTATGTATTATGGCGCCTCCAGTAATAAACAACTTAACAAGCCGACCAAGTTTTGGTTTTGCCCCTCAAACTGAAATGACACCCCTGCTTGGTTGAGCGGTTTTTGCAAATGACGGCGAGTGCACCTGCACCAAGCCC